TTAAATTAAAAAATTTCAAATCATGCAAAAAAATTATATTTAGTTACAGGGGTCAATTACAAGCATTTTTCGTGAATAGACATACCCTCGAAATCCTAACCATTTTCGAGAAAAAAATTCCTTACAGAAAATCTAATGCGAGGCCAGAAACGCACCTTCGAAATTTCATGCGAATCTTTAAAACGTCGTAACTCCTGAACCGATTGGACGATTTTAATGTTTAAAAGAGCAAACTACGCGTATTTTAGTGGAGAATATGTACATATCGCAAAAATATTCGAAAAGTTGATCCTTGACCCCGTAAAGTGACAAAAACCCCATAAAAATGGTCCAATTTTCAAACCGCCATAACTCCTATAATAGTGAATATATTTCAATGAAACTTTTTTTTTGAAGTAGAGCCTATGGGTACCTACAAAAAAGTATTGAACAACTTTTCTGTAGCGCGTCAAATAAATTTATTAAAAATGAAAAACTGATTTTTAAGAATAATCGACAAGGGGGGTGTAGGTGCCTAAATTTTTCAACGAAATCGAAAAGTTTCGAATCGTTCTAAAAAAATTATTTCTAGATTCTGGGGTCAAATAGAACCATTTTTGGTGAATACACATACCCCCGAAATCCTAACCACTTTTGAGAAAAAAATTCGAGTAGGTGTGAAATTTTTCGACGAAATTAAAAAATTTCAAATCATTCTGAAAAAATTATTTTTGCTCGCTGGGGTCAATTACAAGCATTTTTGGTGAATAGACCTACCCCGGAAATCCTACTCATTTTCTAGAAAAAAAATAATAACCGTTTAACGAAGCCTCTATCAACGAATTAGTATTCTTGATTTTCGTCTTATCTCGACGTCTAGAATCTCCCATTAAAATTTTTCCCAGGTGTGGCCGAACACTCTGTATGTAAGAATAAAGTTTATTTACGACGTATCGAACGAACGCTTCTTAGGACGCATTTCCACGTTGCATCGTCAATAAAGATTGTTTGTAGACATAATTAATGGAACAATGGTTGTCCAGTACGGTTTTGCTGATTTCGTTTTACGATTTCGAATAATTCAACGACGACCACCATTACCTGGAGGAAAATGCACGGTTGAACGAAGTTGTCTGTGACGGTGTTGTTTCTTCCCAGGCTATCGGGTCGGTCAGGTTCGCCAGGAAGTTTTAGGGTGAAAGTCCTCCGCTTTCCAATTTATTGTCGTTGGTCGTATTTCTGTTTCCCGAATTCTCTTACACCCAGTGGACCTTATTCTATGGACAGTTGGTCAAAACTCAGTGGGTGAAAATGTTCGTGGTAAGCCAGCTAGTTTCGCGAGAAGGATTATCGGGACGAGCGTTCCCTGCCGGATGTTACGGATATTTTTCGTTTATCGTGCATCCCTTCCATAATCCTGAAACATTAGCTCTCGCTCCTAACGAATAGTTTCGAAGAAGCACTCGGGGACCGACATAGATCATCTTTAAGAATTAAGGTTCTCAACAATTACTCGCACGAATTCGTAAACGTTCTTAAATCTTACGTGATTATTTATACAATAACTATCCTATATTAAAACTTCAATTCTATTGTTATTTTCGTGTTTAAAAAGATTAGGAAATGTCAGGTTTTTGAGAAAACAGTAGGATCGTAGGACGTATGCACGTGTTAAAGGAAAATAGAGGGAAGAGAGTATGTACTTACACGTTTCATGTTCTTACGAACCGTACCGTGTTATGACGTAGCGAAGAGAAAAAGGGCTACGCTGACCGATGTAGGGGATGAGGATCTTGTATGGTATCACTGATGGTCCATGCATATGTAAAGATTTCTTGAAAAGGCTTCTTCCGCGGCACTTGGGCTACAAAGATACAAAAGAGGCTTCCCTTTCGCGTGTTCGTGCATTTATTTTATGTAATCGAGTTTATGTCACTCTGCTCTGGCATCGTTCACGATCATCCAACAATATTTTATACAAGGTGTTCGTCGTAACCATCGACACGATTTTTTTCAGCATTCGTGTCAGCTCGACGAACAAAATCTGCTTGCTACAGTTTACAATTTATTTCATATTTATATACAAAAAAAACAAAATTTAAAAAAGCAATCGAATGGTAGGTCGTCGAACTCGTTTTAAAAAATCAAGGTGCGCCGAGTCTTTTGTTCGATAAAAAGTTCTCTGGGGATTTTTACTATCGCGATTTATTGTCAGGGAAGTACCGAGTAATTGTCGTTGGAAAGATTTTTTATCGAAAGAACGTGAATGCCGAGAAAATCGTGGACACCCTCTATAAATTTGATTACACACAAGGAGCATGCACATGAGAGGTCTCCTATTACGCTGATTGAATAATGTGACGTCTTTTAGGCTTTGTAGCTGTGACCACTCTGTACGTAATTGAAATTCTTTTCGCTCGTATCGGTGATAAATCAGGTCGAGGTAAGATAGTAATTTTACGGGGCAAAAGGGTTAAAAAACGCAACAATGTAGGAAGGATATCAGGGCGGGAGGGAGAGAGAGGGAGAGATGGAAAGGTAGGAAGGAGAAGGGGTGGGTAGGATTAGAGTATTGAAGGTTGGGAGCGTGAATCCTGGTTCGCAGGCAAAGCGCGTGGCGAAGCGCGCCGTACACTCTGGAATAGGCCGGTACGTGTTTGGATCGCTTTTAAGAGGGCACCGTAAATTTTGTGGCCCAACAGGGTCGTAAACTCGTACCGAACCGAACAAACGGCTCTTGCGAGGTAGGGGTGCCAGGGAGCCACAGGGGGTAGTTTGGACGCGCGCACGCTGCACCATCGTACGCCACCTCGCACCCTCCCATCAACACGTATATGTATCTTCTCTCGCGTTTCGTTTCTCAAACGATCGGAGAAAGTTTGACGCCTTAATACGGCCCGTGCGCAGGTTGTTCGGCCCACCTCGGGGACAAATTTTAATTACAGATTCTATAGACCAAAATAACACGAAAATCAAGAATAGCAATTTCTCGATCGGGACTTTGTTAAAAAGTTATTCGCGTTTAAAGTTTCGAACAGCTGCGCAAAGTACATCAAAGTACATCAAACATTGAATTGTTACATAGGTTCGAATAAAAAATCCTGAGGATCGTATGTAAATTATCCATAGCAAACGATATCTTCTCTAACTCAGTCACGAGGAAAACAATCTTATCGCCAATCTGCTACAAAACAATGGCCATACGCTCGTACGAACTTTGACTCATCGTCTGAAACTAGTCAATAGATTTACCCAAACATCGTAATAAGTACCAGTGTTATTGTCCATTTCTTCTAGATCTTCTATATTGTTATTCTTATTCATTATCATCTTTTATTATCTTTCTTTCTCCTTTCTTACTTAATTACTTTCAAATTTTACTTATGCATTTGGTTTCAACTTTGCATACGTGATGACAGTAGTGTTTAAATTCATCAGGATCATTTAGATTTTTATTCCGATCAGAAAATATTACGCAGTTTTCCATTCTTCGTTCTAGGTCAATGTGATTCTTTACGCGTTCTAGTTTCACAGTTTTGTATGCGTAGTATATGCGTTGGAAACACTATATTTGCCGATTGTTAAGCATTCTAGGAATACAAATCTCTGTTTATCTTTGAAATCAAACATTTGCACACGATAGTGGTATAATTAGAAACGTAACAGAACAAACGCAACAAAATTTGACGAAGATAAGTTTTGTGTAATACAAAAATCAGTTTCAAGGAGATATTTAATTCGTTTCTGACACAAATTCAAATCATTGCACGTCTAAATTAAATAATCAACGTTTAGAACTTTACGGACACTTTTTAACCCTTCCTTGTAACACGTTTTCATGTAGCTAAAAACTGTGAAAATAAATATTTGTGCTTATTTACGACAGTTTCTAATACGATTACGCCATTGTGGTGCAAACTAAAAGTAAAAAAAAAAAAAAAAAAAAAAAGAGAAGCAGAAGCGAAAAGGAAACGTGAAACTCTCTTTTGATGTAAAACCTGAGTTGGGTTCTCAATTCGAAATCACAACTGGCTAGCGGTTGGTCAAACAAAACACGGAGTATCGTAAAAGTAAAGACAAAGTGACGAAAAAAAGGACGAAGATGATTTATTGTACCGAGGTTCTTGAATTTCCTGGTGCATTTCGGTATGCTTCCTGTCTGCCGTGACTGCGGTGACTGGCGAAACGATTCTTGGCTTACCGCATGTGTCGTAAAAGTTTTTACGTTCACGAAGATTCGAAGGAATCTTTGAAAAAAAAAACAAAAAAAAAGGAAGATAGAAAAAAGGAAAAGCGATGGCGAGATGAGAGGTACGGTAGCCGCTTTGTGACCCCCTATAAAAGTTATACGATGGGTACCGGGCCGTAGGACTTGGAAAAATCGACGTCCTTGAACGGTTTGTGAAACTTCTCGGATCGGACCTCGCAGTGGTTTCCCCTTTATTCCTTCGCCTCTTCCTGGAAATCAATTTCTTTTCAAGAATTAATCGCCGCCGTTGTTTTATCAAAGATCTCGATGCACGATTAATATGACCTGTGTTTCGCGCGAAGTAAGCGCTAAAAATACGCGGAAAGAAACGTACGATGATCGCAGCATCGCGTGGTCAACAATTACCGATTACGTCACGTCTTGTATAGCTTGTTTAGCTGTTGAAAAACAATAGGAAATAATTAGCGACTCCTTTCTCGTTGCAAAAAATAACAGTCGAGTTTGATAAAAATAGAGGCTCTACTCTTATCTCGATATCTTTGATAGTTCTATGGCGGACAAAAGGGTGAAACACTGCAGAGCTGTCCCTTTCGACTTTTCGGCAGATAGCTCGTTTCTCCTCTCATTTTCAAAATCAACACCTCTTATCCAACGATCTCTTACAGTTCGAAAGTTATACAAATACGTGAAATGAATCATTCGATATGGGACGCTGTGTGTATTACGTATTCCGTTTAACGAAGAGGGGGACTTGCAAACGGTCGTGAACTAATCCCCACCATTCCGTTAGACGCTAAGGAAGTTCGTCGTTTCCAGTGCCGACGACGACGACGACGATGTACTCAATTATGCCAAATCTGGCCACACTGTCATCAAGTTTAATTTAGAGGATCGAAGAACGCGGGACGGTTGTGTTCATCGTTTAGACGCTGCGTACAGTGTTGAGAATCAAGGTATGGGCTTGGGCTTGGTTCAAATATTGTACATTATATGTAGTTTGTGTGCATTCGATGTTGAGTATAGTTAGAAAAAAAAAAAAACATTGTAATTTATATTCCAATACGAGTAAAGTCGAATCAGAGTAGGGAAACATTATTGGTGACTCGTTTGATCGAACGTATCCAGTACGCAATTGTATGTGTTTATTATAATTAACGTAATAGCAATTTGTCTCAAGATAATACTTTTTACGGCGATAATGGATAACGAGCAGGATTTTAGTGGGCGTATTAAAACACGCAGTGATAATTGCTGGTAAATTACAAACGGCTGTGTCTGAGAACGCAATAAGGAAGTGACACCGATAACAGTGTAATGTGTAATGAAAGACGCTGCTCCACACTTATCGATTCATTTTTCGTTATTAACTTCTCACAACTGGAATTTCTTTACAACCAACATCTTATTTAATTTGTTAATTGACCCATTGTGTCTACCAACTGAAACCACTATATAAAAAATGCTTCTTTCTAAACTTCCATTGGGTCGATAGACGAGTAATTAATTAAAAGCAACGTAAATAATAAAACTAATTTAATTTCTGGTAAAGTCTCTTCAATGTTTCGTACTTGGTATATGTATATTTCAAATATAGAAAACAATTTTTCGAACTAAAATTGTACAACGCGCAGTTATTGCAACTTGTTATCACTTTTATCGCAACTTGTAATTGCGATATCGCTATATCTGGCGATTCTTTGAATGCAACGGAAAAAATAATATGAAAATAGATAGAATATCGCTTGTTGTTACTTTCAATTGCTTACAAAGCCGTTCCGGAGAATAACACTCTCCTCAAAATATACATATATTCGTAATAGAAGTGATCTTCGGTAGCACTTAATGGGGTAGATCAATGGAATATTTTTTTTTGTTGTTTGGAATTATCTTGTCACGTGTCGATTGCAATTGGACGTGTTTAAGATTGTTTTCTCGTTCGTCTCGAGAGTCGCGGTTGCAACCGAAGGAAGTTTAAATGCCTTTTCGCGAAATCTTTAGATAACAGAAGTAACTAAATTGCAATAGCTTTGAAAATAACAGTGCTATTTATTAGATATTTGAAAGAAATGTCGATAGCCTCCTGTAACGAAGAATGATAATAAAAGGAAAAGGAATAGATGCCGGTTGCATTGGACGGTGTATCGGTAACTAATTATAAAAAAAATTACGTGTATCTTATCGAGGTCTGTTGTATTTTTAAAGTTAGGCTCGCGATAAACTTACAACCGTCGTACAACGAGTCCTTGTTCTTTCCAGAAGTAAATAAGTATCGAACGGTCAGAAGTGAAAGACGTGGAAGAAAATGGAAGTGAAGAATTTGAAAATCGACCAACATATATTTGAGAAGGTTCTTCGGCGTCAGGTGGCGGACGACACGGTGAAGATATTGGAGATTAGCAAACAATGCCTCTCCGAGAAGGGGTTAAACTTTTTGAGCGATCTCTTCGTAGCCACTATAAAGTATACGGTGACGTCCAAGAACGAAAAGTCAAAATCGAAGCGTTCGACGGACGTGATTATCAAAATGGAACCAATGTCGGAGTTTTCCCGGTATCTCGTTCGCAAGCAAGATCTTTTTATCTCGGAATTGATCGTTCTACGCGACGTTGTACCAAAAATAAAAAAGCTCGTCGGTCGTTCGATCGGACCGCAACTATGGTATTGTTCCGCTAATCCAAAGGTTCTCATCATGGAGAATTTAATAACGCGTAAATTTCTTATAAAAGATCGCCAGAAGGGATTGTCGTTGGAACACTGCGTTCGCGTTATCGAGTTACTTGCCAAGTTTCACGCAGGATCTGTTGCCGTTCGTGAAAAGGTAATTGATCAAAGTTACATTGTTACATTGTGCCTGGACTTTATTGAATTTTCATTTGAAAAATCTTTCCTTTAATTGTTTCGTAATAATTTCGTTCGTCGTTTGATAAAATTTTATCCAATTCGATATTAAAATGAAAATTAGTGACGTTTCGTAATTGTTTAGGATCCAAAACTGATCGAATCGTTCAAAGACGGTGGCATTGTGTCGACGAAATGTCCAAAAGCTTTCTTTCGGCTGATGGAAGTGAGCCTGTTGCGGATAGCTAATGAAATCCAAACGTGGTCGGATGAAAAGTGTGCCAGAGCCGCGCCTAAATTAATTAATCTGGCGAAAACTATCGGAACGCAATGTGTAAAGGTGTACGAGTACGATTCCAACGATTTCTGCGTGTTAAATCATGGAGATTGTTGGATCAATAATATAATGTTTCGAGAAAACGAGAAAGCTCAACCCGAAGATGTGCTTCTGGTAATGCATTACTTTGATCTCTCGTGATATGTAGGGTGTATTTCGAAAGAGGGGCTGGATTTACAAGAGTTTCATCGGTAGAAATTGTAAATTAAAGCGCTAGTGAAGTACATATACATATATACGCACGATCGTTGAAAATTTATCAACGAATACGCAAACCGTTCGAAGTAATTCAAAATTTACCCTTACCCAACGCAAACAAGAAGAATCGTAAAATTGAATAGCTCTCTTGACAGTCGCGTTATTCTTTTATTTGACCTACCTTTTATTTAATTAGCCCTTCGAACGGTGATTTAGCTTGTTATCGCGAGTATACAAGTTTCCAGAATATTCATTTCATTGTAGCGGCAGGTAAATGAGAAATAATTGACCCGAGGGCATAAGTCATAAAATTAATAGCCCCGACTCGCCTATTCCACGAAAACCGTAGAAGCTCGATGATACTTGTTCGTAACATTCGCATTCTGTTTAGGTTTTGTCAAAAGTTATTTAGAACAAGGAATACATTTGTTTAATTATTTCGAATTGTACATCGAAGGGAGAAGTAAAAATGTTGAATGCATTTTTTAGGTCGACTTTCAGATGGCTGTGTACACGTCTCCAGCCATCGATCTGTTATATTTTTTCAATATTTGCCCGGAATTCGATATAAAATACGACAAGGACGATTACTTTTTGGAAGTATATTTGAAGAAGCTGAACGAAACTATGGAATACATCGGTTGCAAAGAGAAACCGCTAACGATGCAACGATTGAAAGAAGCATTGCACAAAAGGAGAGTGTACGCAGTCTTTTCTGGAATCGTACTTTATTTACGAATGATGGCGAACACTGACGACACGGAGGATTTTACGGAAGTGCTTCAGAAATTGTCGGGCGAAACTAAGATGAACGTTTTCAAAAATCCAGACGCGGTGAAACTGGCGCACAAAATGATCCCGGTGATGGAAGAAAGAGGCTACTTGGATTGAAATTATTTTTGACATATTTATACCGTACTACATACCATGTAAACGAAAATATTTGTATCGATCGCTTAAGGAATACGCCGCGATAGAAAGTAAAGTTGTGCATAAAATGTTTTTGTGTGTTACATTGTATCGAATACTTTGGTTTCGCGTATAACGTTTCGTTGGTCGAACGTTCTAAATGTATTTGTCGGTAGCAAGTAGTTTCCAGTCAGCTGGTAAGTTGGTCGTGGACGAACGAAAAACAAGTTGCATCCAGGCGGTAGATGAACTTTCGAAAAGATCCTTCGAGGTCGAACGACTTGGCGGTCAGACGGTAGCAATTGATTTATTATAGGGCAGTAAACCACTAGGCTAAAAGGTCTCTGAAAGCGTCGTCTCGGTAACCTACATCGTGAACAGAGAAATTGTTGTGGCAAGCCTCGATGGGGTGGCTGTTGCCCGGAGGAGAATCTCAGCTACTAGACAAGGAAAAACGCGATGGAACAAGAGTGAGCTCGCCTCGAGGGAGCTGCATCTTGGACGAGTCGAAGGTATTTCCCAAATCTCCTCTCTTTCTCTCGCTTCTTGTCTTTCAAGTTCCTTCTTTCTTGTTTGCCAATGACCTGGAAGATGCACGTAGCCCCGGAGGATTCGTAAATCATGGCAGAAAGGTGAATTGGAAAAATCCGGTAGCCGATTTTCGGTTCTCCGCACGAGGTTCGAGAAAGTCGGGAATTGGGAAGGAGCGACGGGGGTGAAACTGTGGAACAATGCCGAAAATGGCCCGTTCGAAAATGGCCCGTTCGCATCTGGATTACTCGGTCGTCAGTGGCAGAAAATCTTTCCAGCGAACCGCGATCACTCACGAATCTTGTGATTCTCAACGCTTTCGTATTTTCTTTTTCTCCGGTTGCTTTCCATGCCTTTCGATACAGAACTCGCGCGATTAATTGTAAGTACGGGACATTGTCATTAATTAAGTTACTAAAACGGGGGGAACTGTCATTTGTAATCGGAATAATGGAAAGAGACGCGCGGTATCTAGGCGGCGAGAATAAAGGAATTCGGGATCAATGGGCAGAAAAAATCGTTTCGAACAGCGAAGGGTGTCACGAACTAATCCTACGATTTTTCAGGTGCTTCGGTTTGATACGCGTTGGACGACGTATTTGTCAATGTCCGTCACCTGAATAACGTCTGTTTTTTATCCGCCTTCTTGGAGAACGACGACGCTAAACGACGGGGGAAAAAGCTTTTCCAACTCTCGTGAGATTAATAAATAAATTGATGTGCTTTTTCACGGGCGTGAATGGCCGAGGAACTAGAAACGGAAACCGATATTCTATAGAAGAAATAAAATCGACGCGCCTGGTTCGTTAAAGGATCGTGGTGCATTAGTTACAAACCTGTCTCGCGCTCTCTATGAAATTAAACCGAGCATTATGAGAAGCAGCGGCCGCGCATCGGACCAAAAGAAAGAAACCACATATCAATATTATCCTATGGGTTCGAAGTTCATACGGGCGTATTTACACCGGCGAGACACGCAATTTTGGCGCGCGACGTGTAAATACAAACGTGCCATTGGACAACAATATACCCGTGGGACTAAAAGCCCGATCTCGGTGTCAATGAGCACACCATTCTGAACGTTTCGATGGTATTCCGTGACGACCTCGAGTAAATTATTGCTAAATGGTGTACAAGCGGATGTCAAGATGCGGGCCTCGTTCGGTTCGGTTCGGTTCGGTTCGGTTCGGTCGTGGGATCTCTCGTCGCCCGGCCCTTTCCGAATATCACAATGTGTAACACAATCTTTTCGATCGATAGCTGATAAATCAACTCTCACTGATTTTACGTGAAAATCACGCCGGTACGAATAGAGGGTTTTTTTTTTCAAAGTAGATGATCGGACTAAATTTTAATTAGCACAGATACGGTTGAAAAGATTTTGTTTTTTCAGACACTTTAGAATGTTAATAATTGTAATAAATCCTCGTTTGAATGTTACTCGAACCGGAACGTTTTTGTCCCTGTACTCGTGAAAGGGTCCCCGTGCTTTCTTGCGTCGAAGGTAGAAAGATCCGTCGGAACATTTGGTTTGAATCAACGAAAATTTATGGGGGCCAATCGCAAACAACCATAAGGATCGACCGTAGGGCCCGTAGATACGTTCGAAGAAATATTCGACGGTGCAATTGCCGCGGTTCCACGATGTTTTGGGAATCTGCGGCCGCAGCAGCATTCAAAGTCGACCGAATATTCCTTTGGTCTGCTGTTCGTAAAGACAGTAAATCATGAAACACGGATTTATGGGTCAATTCCGTGTGGCCTGAAGGTATGGTTGACCATTCGGCGCTTTCTCTTCGCCGTTGCCTCTTTCACCGCTGCATCTTTGCGTTTTCACGTTTCGCCACGTTTCACGAATACCTTCAATCTTTCCTTTCCTTTTCTACAACAAGTTTACTATTATTTTCAATATTCAATTGTTGGCGTATATCCGCGCAGTTAGTTGTATTATCGGGGACATTCGATACTTACACTGTATGCTGGATGACACTACTATGTATACGTATTATACATACAGGGTGTTCAGCTTCTAATTGTACTCCGTTTCAAGTATCACTGTAAGTACAGACTAAAATAAGACGCGAATCAAGAACGAGACGAACAAAAGTAATTTCGACATTCTCAAGTATATTTGATAAGATCTGATCAGGTTTGAATAAAATTCATCCACGAATTAGTAGTTTTCTTTTTGCAATTTCATTATTCTTAATTTTCGAATTATTTTTGCCCATAGATTCATCCCGTAACACTTGCCTTATTTAAAGGTAGTTAAAGAAACCTCGATTTCTCGCAAGTTAAAATTATTAAATTCGCTATGTATATTTATTTATATTTATTTCGTATGTAAAAAAGAAAAAGTAGAATAATAGAGGCAATTAGAACGAACAAGGCAGGCGTCTAGAGTTTATTTTTCGCCAACGGATGCCATACAACTTCACTGTACAGACACGAATACATAACGTGATTTGTGTTCGGACGTGATTTTTGTGTGAAAGGCAGAAGCCAAATGCGATTATGATCGCTGGGGACACGAACAAGGGTGAGTGTATTATAATAAAACGAGAGAGCTGTTACAGTACTCACGTCGCGTGACACGTGGCGAATCGTGCTCTGATATTGTATCACTGTCTGCCACGTGACTATCACTTTATAAGTATATGTATATCGTATCATGTTGGCGATACCGAACTCGTTTGTATCAAACTTTTACTTCGCCATGCTATGGGGGTTACGAAATTTCCTCGTACGTTTATCAGTTTCTGTTCGTTTCATCTTTCATTACCAAGTAACCCAGGTTTGGGACAAATGTTTAATACATTCGTCGATTAACTTTCGCTTACGTTTCATTTGGACAACATTTCCGTATGGCGCGAAACGAAGATATATATGTATGTATATTAGAGCAACGAGAAATAACGGTCCCGGTGTGTACCATTTGGTCGTTAAATAACCGGGGAAAAGTGGATCAACATGATCGAATGGTGAAAACAGGAGAGTCACGATTCTGACATCGTACGTGTCCGTTAGGGGTGTCAATTTGCCCGGTGCAAGTGCAGTTTGGCCCTGTTTGTTTCCAGGAGAGGTTTATTTGCAGCACACAAGGACCGACCGCGGACAAGAGGAGGGGCGGCCAAGAGGGTAAGCCCGTAGAGGACTGTGGAAAAGTGGACGCCTCGCGCTATAACGACGCTCTGATGCCAGCAGCTTCTTGTTTCAGGATGGAGAAAAAAAACCGGTAACGAGGCGCGGCCACGACAGAAACAGCTGTTTCACAAAAGCACCGATCGAAGAGACCGACCGCCCGGTTCGTCGAGTTTCTCTACGAAACAAAAATTCTCTGATGTTACGCAACATTTAGTCCTGTGTTCCAATAGTTATCGGTAAGGATAATAAAGACGAGCAAACCGCAATTGGCCCTTACCGATGGTTTATCTCATTGTCGGTGAACAATAGTCGAGCATGACGAATAGTAATCATACGTGGATGAAGTTGTAGCGAAAGTTGCTTTGGAAGCCGCAGGGAGAAATGATTCGATGAAAGAGAGCAGAGAATAGTAGGAGAGGAAAGAAAACCGAGGGGACGGACGAGCGATAACTGGAAGGTGGGGTTGCTGGAAAGGGAATTATGTACGTTTGTCGCACGTGCGTTTGTTGCGCGTGTATTGAGTGCAAACGGGGCACGAAACCCTAACAACAAGGGTGAGAACATGCCGCACAGACAAAATGTGACATCCGGACCGGTCAATTCCCAAGGTTTCCGAGAGAGCAACGACGGATAACCCACTCGCCCACATGACGGACCACAAACTATACAGTTTTCCATACGATACAATATGTAATTGAATCTGTTTTTCCTTAAGCAAAATTTAGAAAACGGCTCCCATCAAAGTATTTCTAACGCCAAAACTATCTTTTTGTAAATCCTTAAAGCTTAACTATTTCTATTTCTAGTTTTTGTTAGTCTACCCCCGTTGGAAGTTTTGTATAATCCGGTATTGCGAGCGGGTGTACGAAGACGAAGGAAAGAACGTAGCCAGCGCGGTCTTCTATAGACGGTTTCCATGGTATTGTTTTCGTCGAGCGGAGGATAGGGCAGAGGGTTTCACCGCGATTGCTGTAACAGCATCGCCGTGACGAGAGACGCGCGTATCGGTAATGTAACCAATCATCGGGGCGAGTCTGTCTGGTTTTAAAGCTCGGTACCGTCGGGTGTTGGGTCGTGTACCCTCGGCGTTAGTTCGGCTATACTCGGTGCCAGTTGGTTTACGTTCGGCTTCCCGTAACGAGGAGTTTAATGACATCGTCGATGTCCACGTCGGACACACGAATGTCAGGGGAAAGTTTCTCTCTCTTCTCTATTTTGATGTATCCGCCTCCGTCGATGGACAAAATTTAACCCCGTTACGTATTACTATATATACGTTCTCGGAGCACGATCGAATTTGGAAAAAAGAAAAAGGTCACTCCCGTCGGAATCGTTGAAAAATAACGGCGTTAGCAATTTTTTGTAACATTTTCACGATACTGGGTATTTCATTCCCGACGACGTTGAAAGCCTCGTAACCTCTTT